GTAACTAAGAAACAAATGCTAATTCGATGATGCCGGCTGGCACACTGATTCACTATGAATGTAGGCCGCACCCCCTAGCGGCAGAAGCTCGTACTACATCCAGTTCGCACTCTATTGACACAGTCTTGAAACTTTCCGATCGCACCTCGTACGTCTCCAATGATATTTTTCCTAAACAGTTCCATTGAAAAACGTTGAATAATATTTTCTGAAAAATCGGCAAGGGCTCGTGTCGTTATCTTTACGTTCCTATATAAATAGACCTTAATTCGTGTCACACAACCTCAGCGTCTCGCCATCCCAATTAATGAAATTTCAAAGCAAACAAAGAAAATTAAACATATGTTTAGGATCTACCACATGTGTAGAGGTAGGCCTAATGGTTTATTAGTTGTTGATAACTGGAATGTTAATGTATGCATATATCTCGTGTGTGTCCAACGTGTTTTCTACATACGAAAATAACTGATTTTTTTCTGAAATCTGCCACCGTAGATATTTTCATGATTTTATATTATCTGGGTTGGTATCGCTTTAAATTAGAACACAATTTCGCGGTGGAATTGTTCATGCTAGGGTATCAAGTAATGACATGCAGGTTATTTAACGACGTTGAATAAACTACAGCTATTTTTTAGCGTCAAACGATTTGAGGGGTTGTTTTGTACGGCAGTAGATTTGTTAGCCTATTTTGAGATCGAGGCGTTCCGTTGCCGCGATTCGAACCTGGCATTTTACGTACACAATTAAAACACGTGTCCATTATCCTGCCTCCCACGCTATGAACACAAGGTAACTACAAATGGTTTGAAACTGTTTATAGTTCGCATGCAAGCAATGTACAATTTATTAATAAAAATGGCTTTGAGATTCCTGTAGCTCAAATTTCTCTCTCTCTCTCTCTCTCTCTCTCTCTCTCTCTCTCGCTCTCTACTGCAGAACGCTGTGCTATACGTGTCCTTTTACTGTCGAATAGCAGCGATTCGGCACATGTTAATGGTTTCGGTAAAATTGTTCACAGTTAAGTCTTTTGACCCGATGTTTCAAAGACCTGACGCCACGGTCGAGTGGTTGTCACACCAGAGTCGTATTTGAGAGGTCCGGATTGAAGTCACTGCCGTTCAGGGTATTTTCGTTGTTTTTCTCAGCCACTCCATTAATATTTTGGGACATTACCTCAAATTACCCCACGACCTCCTCCTTTGTTCCGCCTGATCATTCACCATTCATCATTCGGCGCTACATTATTTTTACTATTGACAGCGTCGTTAAACTACAAATGAATAATTAAATAAAACTGGAAGATTTAAATTATACTACTTTTTTACACTTTTGGCCTTTGGGGTTGCATGTTACTTGAAAGACACGGTTAATATCTTCTTATAGAGCAACAAATGTTTAGGCCTTCATGCGACTACTAGTCTGGTGTTTATGCACACACTGGTACATGATTATTGTTTAAATATATTTGATTCGTGAGATTTAGGAGCACGTCTGTGCACTAAGCAACCAGTATA